CCCCCCCCCCCCTCCGTTCTCGGGCTCCCAGCCCGAGAGCTCCTGGGCTGCCTGCTCTGGGAGTCTGTGTTGAGGAGGTAGGTCCTGGGGGGACGGGAGGCAAGTTTCAGCACATTAGACTCTCGCTGGCATGAATTTTGTCAACAATTACACACAAGAAAGGAGAGAGGCTGGGCAGGAAGGGAGCCATCCTGAAGAAGGCGGCCCCATCCTGGCTCCCGGCAGGAAGGCCCATCTCAGAAGCCTGGTCTGGGCTGAACCACCCGCACCCAGTGATCCGACTCTTCCCCCACCTCCCCAGATCCTCACGGCCACCGTGGACAACGCCAGCATCCTGCTGCAGATCGACAATGCCCGCCTGGCCGCTGACGACTTCCGTACCAAGTGAGCCTTCGCCACGGAGCTGGGAGGCGCGGGGGCACCCCTCCCCACCCTGGGACCCCTCGGTTGCTTGTGATACAGGCCAGGAGCTGGGGGTGGGGGAGTCTACCTCTTAGTCCAGGATGCAGCAAATTCTGAAGGTCGCGGGGCTGAGGTGATGGACGAGGAGGCAGGTGGGGTAGGGCCTTGCCCTGCCTGTTCCCAGGGCCTCAGGCTGGACTTTGCTTCCACTCCTCGCCACCATCATTCTTCATAAGCCCGTGGAGCCCTGGCGAAAGCAGGGTGCTGGCCAGGACCTGGATCTGCCAGTCCCAGTGTCCACATGGAAGTCTCCGGTTCCCTTTGCAGGTTTGAGACGGAGCAGGCCCTGCGGGTGAGCGTGGAGGCCGACATCAACGGCCTGCGCCGGGTGCTGGACGAGCTGACCCTGGCCAGAGCCGACCTGGAGATGCAGATCGAGAACCTGAAGGAGGAGCTGGCCTACCTGCGGAAGAACCACGAGGAGGTGAGGAGGAGGGGGGACAGGTGCTCCAGGGCTGGCCACCTGACAGGGCTGCCCCGTCTGAGGAGCCCTGATCCGGGGGGTCCAGAGCCAGCGTGCAGGCCAGCCTCCTTCCTGCTCCCCTGCATCAGAGGAACCTCCCAGGGGCCCATGAGGCCTCGTCTGCCCTCCCCCGCTTTAACCTCCCTCCCAAGGACAGGGTAGAAGTGAAGAGGTCCCCTTGTCCCAGCCCAAACCCTTGAATCTGAGCCCCATGCAGAAGTTTTGGAAATTAGAGGGGATATTCTGGGGGCACAGGCCCGAGAATGAGATTTTATCTTTGGGGGGAGACACAGAACCTACCCTCAGGGTGCCCACAGTCTGATGGGGGAGGCAGAACCCATACAGAGCAGGTGAACAAGTCGTTAGGAGGGTCAGAGGGGAGAGGGCAGGCAGAATGAGGGAGAGCTTGTGTGGGAAGGGCTGGAGTGAGAGACCGGGGCAGGCCCGGATGCCCACACCACAGTCCCTGTCCTCCACAGGAGATGAACTCCCTGCGAGGCCAGGTGGGCGGCGAGATCAACGTGGAGATGGACGCCGCCCCGGGCGTGGACCTGAGCCGCATCTTGTCCGAGATGCGCGACCAGTATGAGAAGATGGCCGAGAAGAACCGCAAGGACGCCGAGGACTGGTTCTTCAGCAAGGTACTAGAGGCCTCTCCCAGTGATGGGGTACAGGAACCGAGTCCCCACAGCAAGCCCAGGGCCTGGCATCTTGGGGGACACCCTCTCCTCAGTGAGCCAAGTGCACCCCAGGAGTTCAGGCTCACCCATGGCATCAACGGGCTGGGAGCTCGGCTAAAGCTAGGATCTGGGGGTGGGCGGGGAGCCCCACTCAGGAACACAGCCAGAGGATAAAGGCCCCGGGACCCTCCACCTCTCCTGCAAGAAGTCAGGAATGGCACCAGGGGCCTGGCTACCGGTCCTTAGCAGGGGAGGAGAAGGGACCCATTAGGGTTCTCAAGTTTCCTACTCTTGTGCCCTCCACCTGTAGGGATTAAAGATAAAACTTAACATATTCCCAAGGTTTCGGGAGTTTGGGAAGTGGGAAGCTGACGAGAGACACTCCCTGCATAATCAGGTTTAGGAGGAGGGCCCAGGGGAGGTCAGGAAGGCGGACAAGGTCAGGGGGTTATGGGGTGTGGGGGGGCTCCATGTGCCTGTCGGGGCACCGAATGGGTCCTGGGCTGAGGATATGCAGGGCGTGGTGGCTGTCTGACTTGGAGAAGGGACCCCAGGCTCACGCGGCACCATCCTGTGTTCTGTCTGCAGACCGAGGAGCTGAACCGCGAGGTGGCCACCAACACGGAGCTGGTGCAGAGCAGCAAGAGCGAGATCTCCGAGCTCCGGCGCACCATGCAGGCCCTGGAGATCGAGCTGCAGTCCCAGCTCAGCATGGTAGGGGCGCAGCCAGGCCGGGGGTGGGCCCCGGGCCCCTCGGGGGGCACTGACCACCCTCTCTGACCCTGTTCCTCCTACACCCCTGCAGAAAGCATCCCTGGAGGGCAGCCTGGCGGAGACGGAGAACCGCTACTGCGTGCAGCTGTCCCAGATCCAGGGGCTGATCGGCAGCGTGGAGGAGCAGCTGGCCCAGCTGCGCTGTGAGATGGAGCAGCAGAACCAGGAGTACAAGATCCTGCTGGACGTGAAGACGCGGCTGGAGCAGGAGATCACCACCTACCGCCGCCTGCTGGAGGGAGAGGACGCCCAGTGAGTGGGGGCCTGGGGCCAGGGCTGTGGGCCTGGGGCTGGGGGCGGGGCTGGAGAGCTCAGACCCACTTCTGATCTCCCCTCTCTGTTTTCTTTGCAGCCTGACTCAGTACAAGCCCAAAGAACGTAAGAATCTTGGACCGTGGTCGCTGCGGGCGGGGCAGCACCGGGCAGGCACCCATCTGCACGTTGCTGGGGGAGGGTCCCCCGGAGCTCCAGGAAATGATGGCTGATCCTTAGCGGGGGGTGGGAGAAGGGACCCATTAGGGTTCAGGACTGATGCTCAGGGGAATCAGACAGGGAGACACTGCCTGGCCCAATGGGGGCAGGGCAGGGAGATGGTCCTTAATCCTGGAGTCCTAGTGTGATGGGGGAAACATGGTCCTAGCTCTGAAGGCCGTCCTCTGATGGGGAGGCAGGGACAAGGTCTCATGACTTTTGCTCTGAGACCCTGCAGATGAGCGAAAGTAGTCCTGGCTCTAGCCTGGAGGGAGAAAGGGGCTTGGTCCTTGTCCTCCAGATCCCAGGGAACATAACCCCCTAGCCCCGTGGTCGGCAAACTGCGGCTCGGCAAACCGTGGCTCGTGAGCCACATGTGGCTCTTTGGCCCCTTGAGTGTGGCTCTTCCACAAAATACCGACTTCTGCACATGGGCCACAAAGTTTCAATCGCACTGTACGTGCGCGCCCGCATGTGGTATTTTGTGGAAGAGCCACACTCAAGGGGCCAAAGAGCCACATGTGGCTCGAGAGCCGCAGTTTGCCAACCACAGCCCTAGCCTGATGGAGGTGATGGGGACCAGGTGCTGGCCTTGGAGAGCCCCGCCCAGGCTGATGGGGGAGACAGGAGCACAGTCCATGCCCCGGAGACTGCAGAGAAATGGAGTTAGACCCATGTTGTGGGCACCCCGTCTGCGAGGTGCTGCTCTTGCAGAAGGACACGTGGGTCAGAATCACCCCACCCACCTGGGGGGCTGGGGCACCAGCAGAGGGACAAGCTGGAAGGGCGGGAGCCGTGAGGGCAGAGGGACAGTGTGGATGTGATGCCGAGGAGCCAGCAGAGGCCTGGACACCGTGGCTGTGGGGGAAAGAGTGGCTCCTCTCAGGGGTGGGGTGAGCCAGGCTCTCTGGGCCCCTGCCCCCCTCTGAGTGTCTGTCTCCTGCAGCCGTGACCACCCGTCAGGTGCGCACCATTGTGGAAGAGGTGCAGGACGGCAAGGTCATTTCCTCCCGGGAGCAGATCCACCAGACCACCCGCTGAGGACCCTGCTCCCCTGCCCACCCACCCAGGGCCCTCATCAGCCCTGCAGCCTCGACCTCCCTAGCCTGAGCCCCGTGGCTCCCCGTCCCTTTCCCATACCCACTGCCTGACCAATAAAGCTTGTTGACTCAGACGTGGAATGCCTCCTGATTGTGGCCACTGAGTGGGCCCTAGTGAGGGAGGGGTGAACAGAAGCGGGGGCAGGAGATGGGACAGGGAGGAGTCCCCGGACGCCCACTGTTGTTGACTTAGAGTCTCAGACCAGGGTAAGGAGTAGGTCTGGGCGGAGCTTGTGTGTGGTGGTCCCAGGGAAGGTGGTGCAGGCCGGGCCAGACCAGGGTGCGGCCAGTGTATGGGGGGTCTTAGGTGGCCTCTTCGTGTCCTCTAAGTGTGTCTGTGGCCTCGGGCAGTCGCTTCCCCTTGCTGAGCCTCATTCTAGCCTCAGTAGATTTCAGGTGTGGGAGCCGGAGGCCCACGGGATGTTGCATCCAGTCCATTGCTCCTCGAGGTCCCTCCCCGGAGAGGGGGCAGGGGTGGGCCAGGACAGGAGTCTGGGTTCTCTTGGGAGAGGCATCGGGGGAGGGAGATGGTTAGGGCCTCCGTTGCCCAAGAGAAAGGGGGAATCTCTCAGGAATGTTTCCTTAAATGGTCAGCTGCCGCTCGGGATGGGGTGCTGGGGCTTAGGTTGTCCCGGGGAGCAGCACCATCCTCCCTGGCAGCCTGCGGGTGGGGTGGTGGGAAATGCATCCTGGGGAGGGGCCAGGGCAGCCCCGCGCAGCCACGCCCAGGACCCTCTGGGCCCCGCCCCTTTCAGGGGAGGAGCCGCTGGGGAGGAGCCTGACATCAGGAAGTCTGCCTTTGAGTGAATCCGGAAACCGTGGGGTGGGGTGAGCCTGCTTTCCTGGTTTTCCTGGAGAAGTGGGAGTGGGTGGAAGGGGTGAGTGAGAGGAGGGGTGCCCCCACCGCACCCCGATTCCCCGACAGGCCTGGGACTGTCTGCTGCTGCACAATCAGACCTGGGTGTCCCAACCCCTGCAGCATCCTGGTGCCTGGAAGCGGGGGGCGGGGCTTGGGCGGGGAGGGGGCAGGAGCGGGTGGGGCAGTGGCTGTCTAGGAGGTGGGCAGCTGGGGTGGGGCTTTGGGCAGGTCTCAGGCCCACGCTGGACCGCAGAAGCCACAGGAAGCGAGGAGTGAGATGAGCCCCAGCTAACGGCCCTTCTGGCCCAGATACCGGGGAGGGCAAAGACTCCTTCCCATGGCTGTGGCCCGGACCCCCTGCCTGCAGAGGCCACTGCAGCGCTGCCTGCGGGCTGGGCCTGCAGGTGTTGCTCTGTCAGCGGCTGGCGCCTCTCAGCTGCCTGAGCAGCAGCCGGGACAAGGATGCAGGCCAGGCAGGTGGCATCCTATCCCCAGGCCCCCCGCCGCACATCCGGCCACAACCAGCAGAACCAGCCCTGGGCCAAGGATGGCTCCTCCGGAGGGTGATCTCATTTGTTTGAACAACCTTCCTAGGAAGCAGGAAGGCTCTGGGAAGAGGCGCCTCATTGTGTGAACGGGGACACTGAGGCTCTGAGGAGCAGTGACTCAGCCCTTGCCTGGAGCCCCGCACGTCAGGGATGGAGCAAGGTGCTGCCCGGAGACGGAAAGGCTGTGCTGGGAACAGGAACCCGGAGCCCCACCTCCTGCCCCACCTCCTGCCCAGCCTCAGGCTGGGAGGCAGCGGTTCTCTCTCCACAGACGGGGCCTCCTCCTACGCTGCAGGGGCTGCGGAGGGGTCAGAGTGTGGGGCTGGCCAGGGCTTCTCGTCTTGTTTGTTTCTTTTCTTTTTATTGTTGCCCCTCTGCTGGGGAAGAAGACCCTGCCCACAAAGCGAGGGGGCGGGTGGCTCCGGAGGCCATAACACGGGGCAGCCTGATGTGCTGAGAGCTGAGTTAGGAGAGGCAGTGGCTGCCCCGCTGGGGTTGGGGTTCCCGGGAGATAGTCCTGGGCCCAGCAAGGGGATGCCCCCTCTCTCCGCAAGTGCTCAGCCCAGGCCTGGGCAGGTGGGGGCCACAGGGCACAGACTAGGTCAGGGGACTATGGCCTCTTGGGGATGGCGTGGGAAACTTCGGTGGCTTTTTCCGGGCACCCCAAGCTGACCCAGTGCCTGAGGACATTGGCTGTGGCTGGACTGGGAGGCCCAGCTGTGGGCTCTATATAGAGTCTCATGGTTCTATCCGTACCCACCCACTCACGGCACAAAATGTTTTGCCCCGAACGGTTAACCGGTCGGTAACTGCCCTCAGCGTGCCTCACCTGCTCTCAGAGGATGGACACACACCCACCTGATTCCCAGGCTCAGGCCCCATGGGTAGCCAGCCCCTGAGACTGCCTCCACCACGCCCCCGCCCTGGGAGGGTGACCACAGGCAGGACACTGCCCATGGTACTGCCCCGCTCTGTGCCTGGGTCTGCATGGGGACCAGGGGAAGAAAGAGACACCAGCCCTGGCCTGCAGGGACCCTAGCCTAGGAGGGTGAGCACGGCACAGTGGTGGGCTGACAAACGCCCTTTGCCCTTATGCAGTGTGGGCCTCCTGTGCCACCCATGCTGTGGGTGGCTGAGGACCACAGGCAGGACACTGTCCACGGTACTGCCCTGCTCTGTGCCTGGGTCTGCATGGGGACGGGGGAAGCAAGAGACACCGACCCTGGCCTGCAGGGACCCAAGGGACCCTAGCCTAGGAGGGTGAGCACGGCACAGTGGTGGGCTGACAAACGCCCTTTGCCCTTATGCAGTGTGGGCCTCCTGTGCCACCCATGCTGTGGGTGGCTGAGGAGAACACTGGGACCAGAGCCAGGACAGTTCTCCCACCAGGCACAGGGCTCAGGCTGTAGCCAACATTGACCCAGCCATGGGCTTCCCTGAGGGTTGTGTAGACCATTGTGAGGGGCTGTGACAGCCCCTGCCCTTAGAAGGGGGGCATCAAACATGGGTGAGCTTGGCATTCAGATTCACCCAGATCCTGGGACCAGTCATGGGGCCAGCGCCTGAGTCAGGGACATTTGTTCACCCCCAGAGAGCCTGCCCCACCCCCTGTAGGCCCCTCACCCTATCACAGCTGAGCACACGGTATTGGGATTGTCTCTGCCCCCAGTCCTTCCAAATGGTATGCCCTCAGGGTTTCTCTTGTTTTTGTTTTGTTGTTGTTGTTGTTCATTTGTTTGTTTTTGCATACCAATGCACATAGTAGGAGCTTTATAAATATCTGTGAATAAATGCAATATGGCCACCAGTCTGTGCTAGGTGCTTTATTTATTTCGCCTCTAACATGCCTGTGAAGTAGTGCTGATCTTCCCATTTCCCAGAGAAGGAAACTGAGGCCCAGAGAGGCACAAAGACTTGTCCAGTATCTGGTCCCTGCTTGCCTGGCTCCAGACTGCTCTGTCCTGGCTCATCCAGCCTCTTCTCTCTTCATCCTCCCCCAGAGCCCATGGATCTGGCTGCCACCAGGAGCTGAGGGCCCTGCAGCCCCCTCCTCTCTCCCCTCAGGCTCCCTGGGGCCTCCTTCCCCTGCTGTTCCTCCCCCAGGCCTGGCTGGTTACCAGAAAGAAAACAGTCCTAGCACCTGCCTTGTCCTGATGATGCTGTGCAGTGGGCTGATGTTGATGCAGTGGGCTGATGCTGTACCGTGGGCTGATGTTGATCCAGTGGGCTGATGCTGTGCAGTGGACTGATGCTGATGCAGTGGGCTGATGCTGTGCAGTGGGCTGATGCTGATGCAGTGGGCTGATGCTGTGCAGTGGGCTGATGCTGATGCAGTGGGCTGATGCTGTGCAGTGGGCTGATGCTGATGCAGTGGGCTGATGCTGTGCAGTGTGCTGATGCTGGTGCAGTGGGCTGATGCTGTGCAGTGTGCTGGAGCAGGGCCCAGGGATCTGGATAGGATGCTGGTGATCAGTCGGGTTTGTGAATCTGGCAAGTGGATGTGTGGCATTGGCCAATAATATTTCCTGGCCAACTCTGGAATGAGATGCCTCATACCTGAGATGGGACGGCCCCAGGAGAGAGGAATGAGGCGAACCCACTGCCTGGAGGTGCTCTGTGCCCACCCGGCCTGGTGATTCTGGCGTTTGGCAACCTTGGGGCAGGTGTAATGGAGGAAATGCTCCCCACTCCTTCTCTGCCAACTCAGACGTCTGAGGCCCAGCTGGAGCCACCGTGGGTTCAGCCATCTTCCCACGAGGATCTCAGAGGCAGCCCCTCCTTTACCGCTGGGCTGAGAGCTGGTGACACTCACCCAGCTGCATCCTGAGGGCAAAGCATCTCAGGGTTTCCTGCACTCGGTGCTCTTCCCACCTCAGTGATCTTCCCCAGGTCAAATCATAAGGTCCAAGGTCAGAGACTATGTCACATCTCCCCCACCCCCTGTGCCCCCAATGCTGGGCATGTGGTGGGTGCTTGGTCTGTGGTGTGACTGAGTGGTTCGATGGGCTGGTCAGCAACTTTATTCCTGCAGCTTCTCAGCCCAGGCAGCTCCCTGGACCTTCAGCGCTGGGCCTGTGTGCACCCCTCCCTGCACCTGCAGGGATGGGGGAGGGGAGGTGATCCAATTAGAAAGGAGGTGGAGGCTGTGCTGGGGACTGAGAGGGAAAGCTCCCAGAGCCGGGTTCAAGTCCCTGCTCCTCGGCCTCCATGCTGTGTAACCTGGGAAAAGTCTCTCACTCTCTTTGGTGGGAGCTTGGTGGCCTTTGGTGACCTCAAAGGTCATTTCCAGTTCTGGGGGTGATGAGTCTGTAGTCGGCCCTGACCTCCAGGCCCACCCCGACACCTGGGATGGTAGGATTTTTTTTGTCCAAAATTCCAAGGCCTCTTTACCCATTTGCGAAGTGTGGGGAGGGAGGGAGCATCTCTCAGGCTTAGTCCTAAAGGCGTGTGCTGGGCCCCAGCTCTGCTAATACCACTGGGCCCTGTGCCCACAAGCCAATGACTGACGGCGTGCCATGCTGCTGTGGCAAAGCCTGGCTCTGCTGAGGCAGAGAGTTTCAAGGTGGTATCGCCCAGCAGAGCTCAGGCTGAGGCAGGCCCTCTCTGCTCCTCACCTTGACAGAAGCACTTCCGAGCAAGGGCAGTGGCCAGCTCTGTGAGTCACCCC